AAAAAATAATATTTTTAACATCAGTATTTCAAAATAATTTTAAAATGAAAAATATTTTCTTGAAAAGAAAATAAAAAATATAATTTTATAATTATATTAAAAAAAAATATTTTTTAATATAGCATGTCAAAACAATTTGAAAATAAAAAAATAATTTGAAAAAAATAAAAAAATTAATTTTTTTCAAATTTTTATAATACAAAATATTCTCTTTATTTTGATATAAGACAATTGGTCATTATTTTGATTATTAATTATTATTTTAAGAAATTCTTAAAATAATAAGACAATTTATTTTTAAGACAATTTATTAAAATGATTTAAAAATATGAAAAAATATTAATTTAAAAAAAAAACTTTAAAATTTTACAAAAATCAATATAAGAACTCCTCATATGGATCTAATTATTGTTAGATAAATCATCAAAATCAAACAAATCTCACTCTCATTAGAAGCTATATTTAAAGAAATTCTGAAAAAGAAAAGAAGGGAGGAATTTCTTATCAAATATACCAAAAACTAAGAGCAATTTAACCATTTAAAATGATAAAAACTTATATGAGAATTTTTAAAAAAATATATATATAAGAGGATTTGCTATGTAATTTGCAACCTAAGGAATGCAAATATGATAAATTAATGATATCTCATTGAAATATTAACTTATCTTGTACATATTTATATTTTACTATTTTTTTAAGAAATATATAAACAAAAATAATGAGTATATATGTATGGGTGTGCTATGTTTTATTATAGTTTATCACTTAAAGTGGAAGGAATTATAAAATATGTTCAATTTTTTTTTTTAACAATGAAGTATTTGAATTCATACGAAAGAAGTATTCATAAATTATGATTGTCAATTTGTTTAATAAAAATATATGTGAGGATCTTTCTAATTAGATTGAAATTTTATAAATGTTCGTCCATATTTAAATCTTAATTTATTCAGCTCATATTTAAAAATCTATTATATTTATCATTCAATTTTATTTTTTAAATATTGTGTTAACTAGATTCAATATTTTCTTTGTATATTTAACTTGGTAAAAAAAGGCAAGCCCCGCAGAGATGAGATTGGTGTTTTTAAATCAAGTTCGAGTCACTAAATCTTCCGGTTAATTTTAATTTTTTTATTAATTAAAATGATATTATTTGAATATAAAAAATAATTAATAAATCATAACTGTATTTTTAACTAGTTTTATCATATCAACTATATCATAAGATCAACCTATTAAATTAGCCGGATCAGCCAAACTTTCAATTACTTTTAATTTTTTAAACTCTATTTAGTTTTAGTTTCATATTAATAAAGTCTTGAATTAACCACCGAAGCAGGCCGGAGTTTAAAAGGCAAGAGCTGATGGCTCATGTCGTCTCTGGGACAGCAGTTATTTTAGTTGATGCTTCACAATTCTATTGAGTTTTATTATGAATTCTTACATAATTTTCTGTTTTTATTTTTTTAGCACCGGTAAGTGGTGTTATACTTTTTTTAGGCTGTTTCCAGAGGTGGAGTGGTGCAAATTAGAATTGGAGGACCAAATTTAAAAAAAAAAAATTAGAAAGGGAAAGAGTTAAAATTTAATAATTCTAGAGCTAAAATTTATAATTGTTTAAGAGAGGTAGGGGAAAAAATTAATTTTTGCATGGATTAAGGCCCCTGCCGGCCACTCCTGTTGTTTTTGTTAGACAACTAATTTGGAACCCCCTTGTTTATTCTAAGAGAAAGTGATTGCATTTCTTTGAAAGCTTTTTAAAATTATATTTTCTTAAAAAAATAAGTTAGTGTCTTATTTTAGTGTTTTTTTGGTAATTTTGATATACTAATATTAAAAATAAAAAATTAATTTTAATATATTTTTAAGTAAAAACATAATTTAAAAAATAGCATATATTATAATATTAAAAATATACTTAGCAATAATAATATAAAAATGAGATTCGCAAGACGCTTATTGTGCGTGTTATACAATATTGATTTTATTTTTTAATTAATTGGAAGTATAAATAAACATTAAAATTTGACCATCAAATCAATTGATAGACGGACATTAGGACAAAGGATGCAGCTAATTATGGTTGATTGAGAGTAAATTTTTAATTTTTTTATTAAATTAAATATTTTTTAATTTTTTTAGGTGTTGATATTAAAAATATATTTTATAAAAAAATATATTTAAATATTTTTTTAAAAAAACAATCATTATGATACTCTAGGCATCCTTAATTGATAAATTAAAAAAATTTAAAATAAAAAATATTTTAAAAAGTAATCATTACTATGATACTCTAGGCACCCTTAATTTATAAATAAAAAAAATTAAAATAAAAAATTATTTTTAAAAAAATCATTACTTCGATGATCTAAACACTCTTAATTTATAAATTGAAAAACGTTTAGGTAGGTGATATAGGATATAATTGACATAATTAAAAGTTAGGAGGGCATTTTTATTAAAAAACATCATTTAATTGAAAATTCTTTGAGATGCGCAGTTTTCATTAACTTTTTGCAGGGCGGAGAAAATCTAGGAAACCATTCCCAACATGTTTTTCACGACAGGGATTCAGATCTTGAAAAAAACACTTTTCCTTTTCTTTTCTTTTCTTTTTTTCATTATATTATTTGAACATAATTTTATTTTCATATTTTTCTAAAATAGTGAAATATTGCTCCACTGCTTAACGAGACCATAAGATCTCCTGTTTAGGTGGATTGAATCTGTGTGGGTGCATAATAATGTCCTAATTAAGCAGGCTTTTTAGTTTGGGCTTATGTTTATTTCCTAAACCGGTAGTCCATGAAATGCTTTTCCACGTTATGGTGTGAGAGGCCTAATTTTTTAATAATCTAAAACAATATATTGATATTATTGTTTTTTGTTGAAAACAAAAATATTTTATAATTATTAAAACAAGTTAATAAAAAAATATTAAAAATACTATATTTATATTAAAAATATTAAAAATACTAATACTTTAATAATATTTAAAGTATTAGTAGAGTGTTGAAAAAAAATATTATTTTTGTATTCATAATCATCAAGTAACATGTTATAAATGATTCTGACCTTTATAACTTGAAAATGTGCATTGAACTTCATATTTTTCATGGATATCACAAGTTTTATTGTTTTATGGTGTTTTTCCCTCTTTAATTAAAGTCTTAAATCATCATATGACTTAAAAAGAGTTCATTTATAGAAATCCAAAGCTCTTTTATAGTTTTAAAAGGTAGTATATCAATATCTTAATCATCATCCATCAAAATACAATTCATCATCTTTTCAAATGACGTAACCTTTGATAAAAAAAAAATGATGATTATAGAGGTAGCATATCAATATTTATGGGAGATTTTTATTGCAAAGATGCTAACTGAACTTGTTGATTGGCTGA